GCTCTCTCCCCAATAAGCAGCTTATTCAAATCTGAGCAGCTCAGTTAGGGGGGATATTTATCATGAAAAAGTCCACAATTGAAAAAAAAGTGTCACATTTACGGATTATATGTTTGCAGTTAGGTACCAAGCTACACATAAACTGGCGTTTTGTACAGCAAAACATTATCTCCACAAAAAGCAGCTTTTTCATATCTGTTAAGGTCAGTTATGGGAGGATATTTATCATGAAAATGTCCACAATTAACAAAAAGTTGTCACATTTACGGATTATATGTTTGCAGTTAGGTACAAAGTTACACATAATTTGGCGTTTTGTACAGCAAAACATTATCTCCACAATAAGCAGCTGATTCGTATCTGTTAAGCTCAGTTAGGGGAGGATACTTATCATCAAAAGTAAGGTCCTTAATTAAAACAACCTGTCACCTCTACGATTATTTGTTTGCAGTTTAGGTACCAACTCACACTTAGGCTGGCGTTTTATACTGAAAAACTATATCTCCCCATTAAGCAGCTTAATCATATCTGTTAAACTCAGTTGAGGGAGGATCATTAGCGCCAAATAACTGTAACAGTAATTGAAATTACCGATCGAATACGAAATAAATATTTGCAGTTTAGGTAGCAAGATATACAGAGAAGGGCGTTTTGCACTACAAAACGCTCTCTCCCCAATAAGCAGCTTATTCATTTCTGAGCAGCTCAGTTAGGGGATATCTATCATGAAAAGGTCCACAATTGAAAAAAAAGTGTCACATTTACGGATTATATGTTTGCAGTTAGGTACCAAGTTACACATAAACTGGCGTTTTGTACAGCAAAACATTATCTCCACAATAAGCAGCTGATTCGTATCTGTTAAGCTCAGTTAGGGGAGGATACTTATCATCAAAAGTAAGGTCCTTAATTAAAACAACCTGTCACCTCTACGATTATTTGTTTGCAGTTTAGGTACCAACTCACACTAAGGCTGGCGTTTTATACTGAAAAACTATATCTCCCCATTAAGCAGCTTAATCATATCTGTTAAACTCAGTTGAGGGAGGATCATTAGCGCCAAATAACTGTAACAGTAATTGAAATTACCGATCGAATACGAAATAAATATTTGCAGTTTAGGAAGCAAGATATACAGAGAAGGGCGTTTTGCACTACAAAACGCTCTCTCCCCAATAAGCAGCTTATTCATTTCTGAGCAGCTCAGTTAGGGGATATCTATCATGAAAAGGTCCACAATTGAAAAAAAAGTGTCACATTTACGGATTATATGTTTGCAGTTAGGTACCAAGTTACACATAAACTGGCGTTTTGTACAGCAAAACATTATCTCCACAAAAAGCAGCTTTTTCATATCTGCTAAGGTCAGTTATGGGAGGATATTTATCATGAAAATGTCCACAATTAACAAAAAGTTGTCACATTTACGGATTATATGTTTGCAGTTAGGTACAAAGTTACACATAATTTGGCGTTTTGTACAGCAAACATTATCTCCACAATAAGCAGCTGATTCGTATCTGTTAAGCTCAGTTAGGGGAGGATACTTATCATCAAAAGTAAGGTCCTTAATTAAAACAACCTGTCACCTCTACGATTATTTGTTTGCAGTTTAGGTACCAACTCACACTTAGGCTGGCGTTTTATACAGCAAAACATTATCTCCCCAATAAGCAGCTTAATCATACCTGTTAAGCTCAGTTGAGGGAGGATCATTCGCGCCAAATAACTTTCACAGTAATTGAAATTACCGATCGAATACGCAATAAATATTTGCAGTTTAGTTCGCAAGATATACAGATAAGGGCGTTTTGCACTACAAAACGCTCTCTCCACCATAAGCAGCTTATTCAAATCTGAGCAGCTCAGTTAGGGGGATATTTATTATGAAAAGGTCCACAATTGAAAAAAAAGTGTCACATTTACGGATTATATGTTTGCAGTTAGGTACCAAGTTACACATAAACTGGCGTTTTGTACAGCAAAACATTATCTCCACAAAAAGCAGCTTTTTCATATCTGTTAAGGTCAGTTATGGGAGGATATTTATCATGAAAATGTCCACAATTAACAAAAAGTTGTCACATTTACGGATTATATGTTTGCAGTTAGGTACAAAGTTACACATAATTTGGCGTTTTTTACAGCAAAACATTATCTCCGCAATAAGCAGCTGATTCGTATCTGTTAAGCTCAGTTAGGGGAGGATACTTATCATCAAAAGTAAGGTCCTTAATTAAAACAACCTGTCACCTCTACGATTATTTGTTTGCAGTTTAGGTACCAACTCACACTTAGGCTGGCGTTTTATACTGAAAAACTATATCTCCCCATTAAGCAGCTTAATCATATCTGTTAAACTCAGTTGAGGGAGGATCATTAGCGCCAAATAACTGTAACAGTAATTGAAATTACCGATCGAATACGAAATAAATATTTGCAGTTTAGGTAGCAAGATATACAGAGAAGGGCGTTTTGCACTACAAAACGCTCTCTCCCCAATAAGCAGCTTATTCATTTCTGAGCAGCTCAGTTAGGGGATATCTATCATGAAAAGGTCCACAATTGAAAAAAAAGTGTCACATTTACGGATTATATGTTTGCAGTTAGGTACCAAGTTACACATAAAATGGCGTTTTGTACAGCAAAACATTATCTCCACAAAAAGCAGCTTTTTCATATCTGCTAAGGTCAGTTATGGGAGGATATTTATCATGAAAATGTCCACAATTAACAAAAAGTTGTCACATTTACGGATTATATGTTTGCAGTTAGGTACAAAGTTACACATAATTTGGCGTTTTGTACAGCAAACATTATCTCCACAATAAGCAGCTGATTCGTATCTGTTAAGCTCAGTTAGGGGAGGATACTTATCATCAAAAGTAAGGTCCTTAATTAAAACAACCTGTCACCTCTACGATTATTTGTTTGCAGTTTAGGTACCAACTCACACTTAGGCTGGCGTTTTATACAGCAAAACATTATCTCCCCAATAAGCAGCTTAATCATACCTGTTAAGCTCAGTTGAGGGAGGATCATTCGCGCCAAATAACTTTCACAGTAATTGAAATTACCGATCGAATACGCAATAAATATTTGCAGTTTAGTTCGCAAGATATACAGATAAGGGCGTTTTGCACTACAAAACGCTCTCTCCCCCATAAGCAGCTTATTCAAATCTGAGCAGCTCAGTTAGGGGGATATTTATTATGAAAAGGTCCACAATTGAAAAAAAAGTGTCACATTTACGGATTATATGTTTGCAGTTAGGTACCAAGTTACACATAAACTGGCGTTTTGTACAGCAAAACATTATCTCCACAAAAAGCAGCTTTTTCATATCTGTTAAGGTCAGTTATGGGAGGATATTTATCATGAAAATGTCCACAATTAACAAAAAGTTGTCACATTTACGGATTATATGTTTGCAGTTAGGTACAAAATTACACATAATTTGGCGTTTTTTACAGCAAAACATTATCTCCGCAATAAGCAGCTGATTCGTATCTGTTAAGCTCAGTTAGGGGAGGATACTTATCATCAAAAGTAAGGTCCTTAGTTAAAACAACCTGTCACCTCTACGATTATTTGTTTGCAGTTTAGGTACCAACTCACACTTAGGCTGGCGTTTTATACTGAAAAACTATATCTCCCCATTAAGCAGCTTAATCATATCTGTTAAACTCAGTTGAGGGAGGATCATTAGCGCCAAATAACTGTAACAGTAATTGAAATTACCGATCGAATACGAAATAAATATTTGCAGTTTAGGTAGCAAGATATACAGAGAAGGGCGTTTTGCACTACAAAACGCTCTCTCCCCAATAAGCAGCTTATTCATTTCTGAGCAGCTCAGTTAGGGGATATTTATCATGAAAAGGTCCACAATTAACAAAAAATTGTCACATTTACGGATTATATGTTTACAGTTAGGTACCAATTTATACATAAACTGGCGTTTTATACTGCAAAACATTATCTCCACAATAAGCAGCTTATTCGTATCTGTTAAGCTCAGTTAGGGGAGGATATTTATCATCATAAGTAAGGTCCCTAATTAAAACAACCTGACACCTCTACGGATTATATGTTTGCAGTTTAGGTACCAACTCACACCTAGGCTGGCGTTTTATACTGCAAAACATTATCTCCCCATTAAGCAGCTTAATCATATCTGTTAAACTCAGTTAGGGGAGGAACACTGGCGTCGAATAACTTGCAGGATACAAGAAAGAATGGTCAACTACGCATTAAATATTTGCAGTTTAGGCACTGAGATGTACAGAAAATGGCATTTAAACTTACAAAACGCTCTCTTTAAGCAGCTCATTCAAATCTGACAAGCTCAGGTAAGGATCATCAAAAACGACGTCCACAATAACAATAACCAGGCACATTTACGCTTTATTTGCAGTTTAGGTACTAAGTCACACTTAAACTGGCGTTTTATACTGCAACGCATCAGCTCCCGAATAAGCAGTTTATTCATATGTGATATTAGCATAATAAAATTAAATTTAAAAAAACCTGTCACATTTACGCATTATATATGTAGCTGTCAACCAAGAAGATTATTCAAGATTAAGTAAGCAGAGAGGCGAAGCTGCGGCTTCGTAAACACCAGCAAGAAAGCGGCAAAGAATTCGGGAGCTTTAAAGTGCCCATAAACTTGGAATAATTTGAAATAAGATATACTAAAGCAATCACTATATATTTGTAGGTAAAAATTGAGCAAATTATGCACTTCAAAAGTTTCGCGAATTATATGAGTTGAAAAGATTCTGAAAAAAAGTTTAAAAAATTGTTATTGTTACTTATTGAAGTGAATATCATAGCACATGGTATTATACTGCCAATGCAGCCTCCTGATTCAAGCGTCCCAACTGAAGTAGCACTTATAGGCTGCACTTTTGAAAGGGCCGCCAAGACCAGAACTTTTATGCGCGACTTGGTTGGAAAAACAGTTCCGATTGTATAAATAAGAGTACTCTACTCACTTCCAGGACATAATCGAACTTGTGTTGATCTCTATCTCTGAGGATGTCTGTAAGGTCACTGAAACAGTTCAGCTCCTGGTGGAACCTTTCTCGCCTAGCCAGAGACAAGCCAGCGCCACTTCCGCCTGGTGTGCTTCCGGACGAAGAGCTATTATTCAATGCGCTAGCTCCGGGATCTTTCACTCTCTAAAATCATGAACTCTGAGTATCTTGAAATCATGGTCAATCTTGTTTTTTTTTTATTAAAACACAAGCGAAAAAGCGACAAAAAGTAGCTGTTAAAAGGTCAAACTATAAAAACTGAAAAAGAAAAAGCTAGGAGACGAAAAACTCTGCTAGGTTCCGGTATTGAACCCTTGACCTCAAGATTGGGAACCACCCGTCCTACCGTCTTCGCCATGGTGACTTCCCAGTTTTCAAACGATAGCCACCACGAAAAACAATCAATATATGATGTTAATGCAGCAAAAGAAAACAGATTAGGGGTCCAGACACAGCTGGAGGCAGCTGATTGATAATTTCAAATGCACTGATGCAAAACGTTTTGCGTTATTTTTAAAATGTCAAAAATTATAAACGTTTTGGCTGATTATTTATCAAAGGTACTGGAAAAAAGTTTTAGCGAGGGAAATTGGTAAAGAATCTCCAATTGATTGATTTCTTAGCCTCAAAACTGGTATTTTGAAAAAATTGAGCGAATTCAAAAAATGGGTCAACATGTCCCTTATTGGATATTTACCAGGTCAATAACAGATTCCTGGTCTGAGTTGGTAGAATCAGCATATGCATGGGATACACCGACAACTTGTTCTTTGCATTGAACCCTTAATTGTACAATTGGCACGGTCGTTTTCGCGAAAATCAGAACTTTCACAAGTTCGTAAAAACAAAAATTTAGATCCAGTCTTTTCTTAAATAATGGGACCAAGTCGCTTAAACAGCAAAACTTCATAGCACATATTCTTTTGATTGCACTCCAAATCTAAGATCGGCAGGTTAATTTTTCAGAACAACAAAATTTCACAACAGCAAAATTTCAAAACTTAAGCGTTTTTAAAGCCATACACATTATTCCTTCAAAAACAAGGGCACAACTTCCTGTGCAGAGAAACCTCCACCAATCTATTTTTATTGAGCCTTGAATATCAGATTTGTAGGTGTGGTTTCCGAGAAAAGTCAAGTTTCCAAAAAAACTAGATCTTCAAAAAAATTACTTACAATTTATTGCGCAAAAAAATCTTGAAAAATTAAGGCAACGCAGCTAGATCTAAAATTCTGCACTATTGTACCCTTAATAACAGATTTGACAAGGTAATTTTTGAGAAGCCAAAAAACTCTCCAAAAATCGAGCAGAATCTCAAAAAAAAATCATTTTCTATGTCCATAAATTCGAATTGTCAAACACTTCGTCTTAACTCCATAGGTGATTTCTTGCCAAAATAAGTAGAATCGTTTGATGCTGGGTAGCCCTATTTTTTTTTCTTCAGTGTCACCCTTACTGTCCGATTTAACACCGTAGTTCTCCAGGAAAAAAATCCACAAACGGTTAACAATTTAAAAATTGGATCTTTCTAAAACCACTGATTTTCTACAATGAAAAACAGGCGTAGCAAAAATAAGAGCAGTAAACTTTCACGCACCTTAATCTTTCAATCCAACCCTTACTCGCAGATTTGGCAGGATAAATTCCAACACAAATTTATGAAAAATAAACAAAATTTCAAGTAGACTTTTCCTCAGTCAAAACTAACTTTCTACAAATAGTTTCTCTGAAGATGCATAGTTAGTACGGAAGCGCTTAGTTAAATTGACATTGATTGTTAGTTCTCTTTTTCTACAATAAGTAGGTGCATAAGTGCTTATGCAGACAGAAATGCTACTCCCTTTTCTCCATTGAACCCTTAATCTGAGATTTGGCAAAATGGCTTTAGAGAAAAAACAAAAGTTCCCAAAAATGGTCAAAACTTCAAAATTAGACAATTTAAATTTCTCTAACTTTTTTTCCCAAAAAAAAAGCGTAGCCGTTTTGATTTATGCAGGAAGGATTCCTAACACCGTTTCTTCCAATTGAAACTTTGATCTTAGAATTCGTTTTCGGCACGGTGGATTTCGAGAAAAAAATATATATTCGAAGAAACTATAAACTAATCCCAATTTAGGCATTTTCTAATGCCATAATTATTTTCTACAATCACAAGGCGTGGCAGCTTACACAGGTAAGATTTCAATGACATTTTCTTTTGTTGATGATTACAGATTAAAGGGTTACTTTTTGAGGAAACGAAAAAAATGCGTCAAAAAATTCCCCCACTGAAAGTTTCGAATGCTGTGTGATTCGGTAAAAAGAGAATAGCAAAATCTGCGGCAAACAGGGCAGTAGACGGTTTTCCCATCAGTCTTTTACCCAATTTTGTGAAAACAATGGTGCCACCAAAAGTAGCCCCAATATTTGCGACTTTGGATAGAAAAAACAGTGGACTTCGTATTAAGACACTACGCTCCGCATGTGTAAAAAATATTGGAAATCGATTAAAGCCTCCAATGTTAAAAACACAACGATGTTTCAAAACGGATTCCATGATTTTAAAAATATTATGATGACGTTTTAAAATCAAGTAAGATCAGGTGTGATCAACTGAATCTTCAGTTTGATTTTAAATCTAAAAAGAAGGCATCCTGCAAATTGGAACCTTGAATGAATCACGTATGGTCGAGGTCCGCTTCAGTATTTTCACTACATCCTAAAAAGTTTACGAGAAACGACAGCGCTCATTTGAATTTCCAGATAACACATCAAAGAGTCATAACTACTGCACATACCCGCGGCTCCTGTAAATTCAAAAGATTGTTACCAACTAAGGTTAACTTTCTTTAGTTCAAAATTTTCTGTTCAGATCAACGAAAGCAGAAGAAAATAGTTTTTCTTGTAAAGTCTGACCTTGTTCTCGGAAAATTTGGCGTTGAGTGCTTTCCTGAAATTGTCGAGGAACTGATTCTGTCGGATGATCAGATGAGCATAATAAGACTTGACCGCCTCTACCTTCTCACGCACGCCTGTAATTAAAACACTAATGATTATTTGAACAAAAAATTTTTAAAAAAAAACAATAAAATTTGAACAAAATTAAATCTAAAACTATTATCATTTATACGGACTGGGATCGAGAGACTCAATGACGTGAAGACATGATATGAGTTTGTGTGCAGCCGTCTCCACCGTTTCGACGTCCTGTCCATCTGAGGTGAAGGCCCTAACCAGAATGTCTTCCTGCTCACGAGGGAAGAACGTCCTATTCTGAAACACGGCAATACACTAAAATCAAAATTGAGCAAACACCAAATATTCAAGACCTTGTTCTTGAATATTTGCAAATATTCTTTAAAAAAAGTAACACCTAAACGTAATCCATCATAAAAAAAATATGATAAACTCATGATTTGTCCCCTCCTCGCACCTTTCTCTCCTACAGTCGTACAAGGATTAGTTCATTAGTTTAACAATTAAACATGGGTTTCTTATAGACACAAGGCACTTCGCAAACACATGATTAAAAAAACAGCGAATCACTGAAATTTTTTTAAATGGTCTGAAGATTATTTAGTGTATATTTAAGATAAATACTTTAATTTAAAACTAATTAAAGGTAATTTAAAACTAATTAGATCATTAAATGAAACAATTTTGTTCGACTTTTGTTGGAATTACACAAAAATTTAACTTGGGCGTCTAACCAGAATTTCGTCCAAATATTTTGCCAGCTTTCGCTGATTAGTCGATTCCAATTTCTGTAGCTTCTCGTTGGAACTCATTGTATTCATGTAGTCCCGAATGCTCTGAAACACGTGAAGAATAGTTGTTACTCTCACTGCGTATTCGCACATTTGGATCCACTAAAACTTTTGTCACTGCGCTATCGCACATTTCGCCAAAGATTAAACGCAATCGAGCAAAATACTTTATACTTGCTTTCTAGTTTAAGGACACGAAAGATTAACACAAAGACAAATACAATCGGGGAAAAAAGTCGAAACTGCCGAAAAAACTACATGTATCAACAGAACTTAAGGTTCTTTTGAAAAAAAAACATGCCCAGACTATAGAATGTAAAATCACCATCGAAGAATCAAAGCGGCAAAAAATACCTGAGCAGAGACCGTTTCAACCGAACAAAAACTCAATACAAAGGCGAAGCTGAGCCGATATAAAACAAATGATTGAAAGTTGAAAATTAATTGAGCGACAGTTTTATTTGAAACATAATATTTTCCGTTTGAAAAAAAAAACAGATCCTGTCAGAGTCAAAGCAAGGACCTTTGCGTCCCATGCGTATTCGTTATCTCTAGGCTAAAGCACCGGGATTGCTAAAAAAACTTGAACTAATCGTGAAACAAAGAACCGCTAGAGAAGAGTCCACAATACCAGATGAAATGAGTTCAGTGAAGTTAATTATGGGGAAAAGTCTAGTACCCGATTGCAATACCCTTGCTTATCAAAGCTAAAAAGACAAATACGAATAAAAAATGTTAGAAAGCCCCTCCCACTAAAAACACGCATACAAATACACGCGAAAAACTTGTTCGATCATCAAACGACGCAATTTAAGGCCACTACGTGATAAAATTAAGGCAAAATAAAAAAAGTTTAAGCAAAAAAACAAAACAAAAAAAACTAAAGACCAGTTTGTAAAATTACTAACAACAGAGCAAGTCAAAACATTAAGAGCAACTAAAATGTAAATTGTGTACAGCAAAAAAAAACAATTCTACGATGTGGCAATTGAGCCGACATTTTTTCCCGTTTGAAAAAAAAACAGGTCCTGTCAGATTCGAACCCAAGTCCTTTGCCGTACCTCCAGATCAAGCGTGCCGGAGACGCAAAAAAAATTGAATTCGTTTTGAACTAAACCTAAATTTGGCCTTTCGCCTTTCTAATTTTGACCATTCTGTTTATTGCGGGGAAAAGAGTCATGTAATAAAAAAGACGACGCCTGCCGTGAGTCCAATTGAAAAAATTTCATTTAAATTTAGTATAATGAGCGACACATTAGTATGTAACATGAAAATAATTAGGGTCGAATTTTGTGGGGGAGGCGAAAATTCTGAAAATAACGTGTGATAATTGACCTACCCTCAACGATGGCATATGATATACGATGCATTGTATTTGTACTGTGTCTTTTCTCTTCAATTTAAGCCTGATAAAAAGACTTGATAAACAAAGCGCCGCATCATTTGCAAGCCCTCATTATAAACAAGTCCTCGTTTTCAATAGGAAAAATATCGAAACGCGTATTTCATACGCAACATTATCTTCTTGCAATAATGATCTTGAATAGATTTCCTTCCTATATTGTTTATTCTAGTTTTCACCTACCGATAGTTTCCTGTCATACACTTCTAGACTCTCTTCCAGTCTCTCTATTTCCTCAATGGAGGCATCGAACAGAGATAGGAGGGACAGCATCTTCTCCTCAGACCCAATAATCATGCTCACATTCTCCTAAACACAACTTTCTACATTTGGTAGCGCCGACCACTGTAAACTATACATAATCGCCTTGCGAAACGAGCAATATACACAGAGGTGAAACTGATCTTCGAACCACTTGCGATAAAAAAACAAGGAAAACGCTTTGTAAAAAAATCGAAACCGGAAAAATTAAATCCGTGAAATTGATTAATGTTAATTTTAAAATAAAAACATGCCAAGACCAAAATAGCCCAAAATCATATAAAGCCAAAATTTATTGAGCCAAAAAAAAATAAAAAAAAGTTCAAGAATAATGAAAAGTTATTAAGCATCACTCAACCTCAAAACACGCACACTTTTTATCGCTCGTCATAGGCGATATGAGGCCACTAGGCCAGCGTGACCACTTTTTTGAGAGAAAAATAGTGACTATGACAATTTTCGAATTTTTTGTCGACCTTTTTTTTTAGGTCGGCCAAATTAATTTTTCAAGCTCTGCTAAAGCACTAAAAAGGGCACTTTTTGAAAAAAATTTGAAAAAAAGTTGAGTTTTTTCGGCGCACGCTTACCCCTCTATTAGTATATATTGGCGCCCACGGCGCCTTTAGAAAAATTTTAGGGTCCGTCACCTAAACCGTTGCAAAAAGTGACTTTTAGTGACTACTGAAAAAAAGTGAACAATTAGTGACCAATAGAGACTGGTCACTAAAATAGTGACCAAGTGGTCACCTTGCACTAGGCCGACATAATATAGGCCGAAATCTATCAGGCTGAAAATGAAGGAAAATAAATAAAAGAAATTTTAATCAACCGAGCTGCAAACCCATGCTTTAGAAATATTTTAAAAAATTACCAGATTATATAACTGGCCTTTTAAAAAACGTAAAATGAACCGACGGACCACCTGCAATTTATTACTAGTAAGGTTACTGTTCACATTGTCCGATCATTATGAAAATTGACATGCGGACTAATTAGGATGTGCCAAACACTTTGGTCTTCTTATTTAACCTTGTAAAACACTCGTTACACCATAAATTGATGGTCGTGGGAGGTGGGTGGAGGAAAGGAAAAACAGCCGAATCTCGTCTAAAACAAAAGCTACAAAAACAACAGGAAACTATCACAAAACTGGAAAAAAAAGACTTCCGAAAAAAAACTGAGAACATACTAAACAACAAGTGGAGTATCCGAAATTTCAACAATTCAATGACAAATTTGAGCCCAAATTTGTCCCTCGATTTGCAAAAAACCTCAAAATGTCCGACAGCTCATACCGAAAAATCAATCAACAGGATATTGGGCCACTAACCGCAATACATTCATATTCATCGGCTACTTTTAAAAAAAATAAAAAAGTATTGTTGACAAATATACTTCTGGTTGAAAAGCTTGTTATGCATGTGGGACATAATTGTATTGACAGGGGACAAAACGGAAAAAAACCTTGTGAACAACTAAGTGAAACTATTGAGAAATCCATTAAAAACCTCAAGCCTCAGAGAGTTGCAGTTTGCAAAACAACTCCTGTGAAAAACGTTTTTTTTGCAGAGATCAAAACTACACTAAAATAAACATTTTCGATGATGCTCTGGATAATTTGTTTGGATATGGATGGTACATTTCGCTGGTCAAAAATTGAATGTGTGAATACTAATCTAGCAGCTACTATTATTTGACAACGGAGTTCACTCAAATGCCAGTGGCATTCAACAACTGGTGGAAAAATTCAGGGGTTGTTTTTCTGAAAACGGTATAATTATCTCCAATGCTGAAATTAAACCGCGGAAACTAACTCGCAAACCAAAGGAAGTTTGAGTTAAAATTTTGACTGTCTGTTGATGAATATGCATTTTCGCTTTTTCAGTTTTTTGTGTTTTTATTTCAGGAATTGAACAACAAAAACAACCCTTTTTTGCAAAACGTTAATTACTCAAACTTTCTTCCACTAATGGAAAATAACACAATCAAATACCGGTCTCATTTATCTGGATGTACTATTGTATTATATTACCTTAAGCTTTTTGCGTATCGTAAAAAGACTCAAATTAGTCCTCTCAGGAGATATTGAGATCCTGGTCATTATTTTTTTCATCTTCCACGTTCAGAATGAAAGGTCTAAAAAGGAGAGGAGGTGTTGGATATTGGACTTCTTTATCATTCACAATGCATATTCGAAAAGATCTCAAGACTGCTAACAAAAAGTTTTTTTGAGTCATTATGGGTTGAAATTGAGTCATCATGCATGAAAAAAAAATAATTTAAGATTCGTTTTGCTCAGGAAAAACGTCTCTCCAGCTTTGATGACGAATTAGCTTGTGAAACTTCTCAAGCAATTGCTTCAAAAATGGATGTTGTTAAATTTGTGGACAACAATGAAGATCTTTTAAAACAAGACGAGTCATCAAAACTTTGACTTTGCTGCAAATAGTGGTTTAACTAAGCTTAACGTCACCAAACCATTATGTGTAACCGATAATAACATCTCACTCATCGACTATTGCTTAGTGTCCAGCAACCAAATAAATATCCTTTCAACACAGACCACTATATGCTTACATATGAATATTAATTTCTTGCAAGCCAAAAAATGACATCATTGAAATTAAGACGAGATTTCCATAATTTTAATCGGGGAAAGTTTAACATAGACCTTGCAAGTTATGTTTGGTCAGAAATGTATGAAAAATTCTCGGAATCGGAAATGTTTGCGACTTTTGGGCTTATTGTTGAAAAAGTTACAAGTGCGCATGCTCCATATCGTACAAAAACCATAAATCAAAAAGTGGTAACCAAAAAAAACCATGGATTGATGAATCACTGATGACTCTGATAAACTTGGCAATTGCTTCACAAAAACATCACATGGATAACTTTCAGCAGTTTTCCATCAAAAAAAACAATGGGATTTCATAAGCAAAAAATATGGAAAAAGAAAAATCAAAGTCAGTAACTATTAGCGAAATAGATCTGGAAAATGGCAAAAAAAAAAACAAAATATGTTACTGAAATAGCACATCAGTTGAATCAAGTTTTTTCAAAATTAGGTATTTTTCATGGTGAACATATTCGCCAAAAACAAAAAAGAACAATTTACAGACGCAGTTTTTGATTTTCGTTGCGTTACAAGAAAAGAAATTTACAAAGAAATTGATAAATTACCGTTAAGTAAATTTCCAGGGCCAAGCGTTTTGCCTTCAACAAGGTAAACTTGTTATTGGAACACATCTCCAACTCGCATTAAATGAAGTTATTATACAAAACCAGTTTCCATCATACCTCAAAAATCATATATCACCCCTGTCTTCAAAAAAGGTCAAACACAAGTTTCATCAAAATATAGGCCTATTTCTGTGATAAATACGCTTTCAAAAATTTTTGACCGCTTGCTTTTGAACCAAATTATGGTAGACATTTTTTTTATAACAGAGTTTTATAACTAAACTAACGCACAAAACAAACACAACATAAGAGATTCCTAAAAACAAATTGGGGAAAGAAATCTGTGGTGAACAATAGTTGTAATAAATAGAAAAGATTAAACGTAAACCCGAAAAAAGTTAAAATTGAACAAAAGTTTAAATTTCAACTTTTTAAATAGAAATACACGAAAAAATCCTTTTGACAGATCCATTAGTTCTTTTCGAGATTAGTTTTATATCTAATATTAGTATTGTTTTATTCATTTATATTTATACAAGTTGTATTAGTATATTTACATACCGGTGTAGTTGTTGATTTTTGACTTATTATGATAAATCCATTTTGTAGCAGCATGTTTGTTTAACCAAGCGGTTATTTTGAACTTACATGTTTGTGAAAAAAACCTCAACCTATCTACTGCCTAAATGATAGTAGTTCTATTTGAATTTCCAAGATATTGAGCATGTCAGCCAAAGGTGAAAATTTCCTACTACACTGACCATTCTGCGAACACAGTTATTTGTGGGGGAAAATTCTAGCACCGGATTGCAAAACCCTTTCGCAAGGGTAATATGAACATATTAAAAAATAAAAACTCTTGTTAAAGCATAACGTGGGTCAAACTTTTGCCGTAAAAAAATCCGTGACTAAATCCGTTTAAGCAACCTTATGGAAACTTAAATTTTCTATCTATAGACAAGGTAATTTTAAAAAAAAATCTCAAGTTATCTTTTTGCAATGAGATTTTCCGTGATTTTTTTTAGATGTTAATTAAATTAATTGTATTCGTTGATCTCTTACCCCGTCGAGTAGGTTTAGGTTCTGGGTGAGTTGGGAAACCAGCATCTCCGCATCTATACACGACACACTGCTGTCCATTAACACCTTCAACAACAGTCAATTGGTAAGTCTAACTAGCTGTCATTTTATTATTCAGATTCAAATAGCTGTGCAATAAGTACAAGTTTGTCATGGATGTATGGTAAGTCTGACGAATTTCTTTTTTCGTTGCTAAAACATTGTCGAATTATTTTTCTCTAATAGAATTTCTCCACCTGCTGTAGATCATCTAGTTCTTTGTTGAAGTTATCATCTCCACTGTTCCCATTGGCGCCCGCTCCTCCTCCACCCATGAGAAGATCCATGCTATGCTCATCCCCAACTAGAGTCTGGGGATCTGTCAAGTTGTTATCAAAAGAGTCGTTCAAATTGCCACCTGCGTGCAAAACAGACTCATAATCACAAAAACTCTTTCCGTTCTGTGGATAAACAATTTCGGACGATATTCAACATCATGTTTATTGTCCATTCGACCTCAATTTGCAATGTATAAACCAAAAAAGAGCCCAAAAGAAACCTTCAAGATGGATGGTCAGATTGGTTAATTCAAATCAACATACCAGAGAGCAATCCAGGTTCGACATTGATGAACTGAACCTTCATGTTGTCTGGAAGATATCTCAGTGACATCTGGAAAACAGGCACTAACTTCTTTCAGACAAAAAGCAGTCAAAAGATTGTAGCAGAAATAAGGACTCCATAACCATCCGCTTCTTTCAATTTGGTCTTTGAAATTTTTGACCACAAACACGTAACCGTGTTTTGAAATCTGATACCATTACTGAGTATGATTTTATTTCAAAACTTTACATTGCGTGCATGAGAAAACTTATACACCGCAACAAGAGTTCTTATTTTTATGCTTGGTCATGATTTGACTAAAAAACTAAATAGCCTACTATGCTGTCATGAGCTCACTCTTCAGAAATCTGTACTTGGCTACCTTGTGCATGACAGTAAGGAAGTAATCTCGATCTTCTTTGCTGGCACAGGTTACACTCAATTGGGTCGGCTTCCCTACTCCTCCACCTGAAGCATAGATGACCAATTATCGATCGAGTCTTAGAAAACTTTGGTTGGCCTTTTTACATCTTTAATATTATTTCAAAAAAAAACAGATAAATTGGAAACTGATAAACCACTCAATTAGCCCTACCGAGCAAAAACAGAGCCTGACTGAGCCATGCAAGTGAAAACACTAATTGAACTGTGATTAAAGAAACTTGACAGTGACTGACCGGAAGTGACAGCAGATGCGTCGAGAGTGAGTATCATTTTGGTGTAGTTAGTGGCAGTCCCGCTGATCCAGTCCCCTGTGTTCTGCACCATGTTACCCACTCCCCCTCCCCCTCTGGGCTTGATTGAGAGGGTGAAGCCAACTGCATTCGAGTCAGAACCCTGGAAGTATTTAGCTGCGCAATCCACAGTACTCTCATGGTTAAATCCAATTAAATGCTAGTGCATTAATGTATTAATGCTAACTGATTCATGAAGGCATTACAACTAAGCATCTCTTGTCCCAAATACAAGGATCCCCGTAACATTGAAACAGCCCACAGACATTTAAGAAAATTCAATGAACTCAATGAGACCGAATAAACTCAACTTTCAAGTTTCACCTTAAAGTTCTTTGAATTTCAAGAGCTTTTATGATAGACAATTTTTGACGCAAAAAACATCAGCGAATAAGAGGAAGCCACTAGGTCTCCTAAATCATAAAAAGAACATAATCTTGAATGAAAAAAATTTGGGGAAAACACATGGAGAATACAACCTGCCGCGTTAAAGAACCATCCAGAAAAATTTACCGAGCGGCAACTAAGTCGACAATTCTTCGATAGAAGCCAGGGTTAAGCCGAAAAAAAAACTATTGCCATAAAAAATTGGAGGCAAGATTTTTGAAATATTTGAAGCAATACCCGGGTTGACGTCCACACAAGAAAAATACTTGTCATACAATTTCCTATACGTAATCCACGGAAAAACAATTTTCATTGAAGAAAAATGTCAACAAGCATTTTTTTCATTCAAAAATTATCATAAATTGGTTCAAACTCAAACAACATTATGGCGGCAGTTTCGGTTACATGAGAGCAGATGAAATTCCTAGCACCTGTTCTTTCAGTTGGACCCTTTACCTCAAATTTGGCGGGGTAATTTTTCAACAATGTTTCCGAAAAAAAACAAATGCTTCTAAATTTCAAGAACCAGACTTTTTCTAAGGCCAAACTAATTTTTGACAGTGCCAAAAAACAAGCACGCATTTTTTAGACAATAACTTTTTTTCATCGACAAACTAGGGCAAAACCAGTTGTGCAGTGAAATTTCTCAAAAGCTTCAACCTCAGATTTGCCTATTTAGTTTTCGATACAATGAAAATTCTCGATACATGGGTCAAAAATTCCCTCTACTTAAATTTTCGAAGATCGTAGAACGTCTAACGAAGTAAAAAGGACTAGCGCAATAATTAGGTACACAGCGCATCTCTCCGCTGGTTCCAATTTGTTGAAAATCAGTAAAGTAGTTCTTGAGATAAAACAGAAAATTTTCGAAAGTTTAAAAATTATAATAACTAATCGCACGCGTGAATAACTTTATCGCGAAAAAAATCACGGAAAATTCAACGAGCTATAAAAGTGGTTTTTTCGTTGAAAATTTATTAGGTTAGGTTCTTATGTATCCCAGATCGTACTCAAACCCACAAATTTCAAGCCATATCACAGTTCAGTGTCAAACTTTCTCGTTGCGTTCCAATTTGAGTGTTTATATTCGTTGCGTGCAAATCTATGATATTATCTTGGTTACTTTTAGAATCTAACCGTGGGTCTTCCGTTGACATTCAGTACTGATGAGAGAAGGATGTCTTTTTCACCTTAAAGTTCTTTGAATTTCAACAGCTTTTATGATAGACAATTTTTGACGCAAAAAAACATCAGCGAATAAGATGAAGCCACTAGGTCTCCTAAATCATAAAAAGAACATAATCTTGAATGAAAAAAATTTGGGGAAAACACATGGAGAATACAACCTACCGCGTTAAAGAACCATCCAGAAAAATTTACCGAGCGGCAACTAAGTCGACAATTCTTCGATAGAAGCCAGGGTTAAGCCGAAAATAAAACTATTGCCATAAAAATTGGAGGCAAGATTTTTGAAATATTTGAAGCAATACCCGGGTTGACGTCCACACAAGAAAAATACTTGTCATACAATTTCCTATACGTAATCCACGGAAAAACAATTTCCATTGAAGAAAAATGTGAACAAGCATTTTTTTCATTCAAAAATTATCATAAATTGGTTCAAACTCAAACAACATTATGGCGGCAGTTTGGGTTACATGAGAGCAGATAAAATTCCTGGCACCTGTTCTTTCAGTTGGACCCTTTACCTCAAATTTGGCGGGGTAATTTTTCAACAATGTTTCCGAAAAAAAAACAAATGCTTAAATTTCAAGAATCAGACTTTTTCTAAGGCCAAACTAATTTTTGACAGTGCCAAAAAACAAGCACGCATTTTTTAGACAATAACTTTTTTTCATCGACAAACTAGGGCAAAACCAGTTGTGCAGTGAAATTTCTCAAAAGCTTCAACCTCAGATTTGCCTATTTAGTTTTCGATACAATGAAAATTCTCGATACATGGGTCAAATTTCCCTCTACTTAAAATTTCGAAGATCGTAGAACGTCTAACGAAGTAAAAAGGACCAGCGCAATATTTAGGTACACAGCGCATCTCTCCGCTGGTTCCACTTTGTTGAAAATCAGTAAAGTAGTTCTTGAGATAAAACAGAAAATTTTCGAAAGTTTAAAAATTGTAATAACAAATCGCACGCGTGAATAACTTTATCGCGAAAAATCACGGAAAATTGAACGAGCTAAAAAAGTGGTTTTTTCGTTGAAAATTTATTCGGTTAGGTTCTTATGTATCCCAGATCGTACTCAAACCCACAAATTTGAAGCCATATCACAGTTCAGTGTCAAACTTTCTCGTTGCGTTCCAATTTGAGGGTTTATATTCGTTGCGTGCAAATCTATGATATTATCTTGGTTACTTTTAGAATCTAACCGTGGGTCTTCCGTTGACATTCAGTACTGATGAGAGAAGGATGTCTTTTTCACCTTAAAGTTCTTTGAATTTCAACAGCTTTTATGATAGACAATTTTTGACGCAAAAAACATCAGCGAATAAGATGAAGCCACTAGGTCTCCTAAATCATAAAAAGAACATAATCTTGAATGAAAAAAATTTGGGGAAAACACATGGAGAATACAACCTGCCGCGTTAAAAAACCATCCAGAAAAATTAACCGAGCGGCAACTAAGTCGACAATTCTTCGATAGAAGCCAGGGTTAAGCCGAAAATAAAACTATTGCCATAAAAATTGGAGGCAAGATTTTTGAAATATTTGAAGCAATACCCGGGTTGACGTCCACACAAGAAAAATTCTTGTCATACAATTTCCTATACGTAATCCACGGAACAACAACTTTCATTGAAGAAAAATGTCAACAAGCATTTTTTTCATTCAAAAATTATCATAAATTGGTTCAAACTCAAACAACATTATGGCGGCAGTTTCGGTTACATGAGAGCAAATTTTGCACCATAAAAAATTGAAAAAAAAGCATATCATACAACTTGATGTATCATATTGCTTGATACGTATTATTTCTATAGAAAAATACAAAATTGAGGGAAAAAATTTTATCCATTTTTGATTGCGATTTTGCTTCTGTGCTCAAATATACATTTTACGAAAAAAAAAAATTTCATGCAAAATTTGACATTTTGTGTCTATAACTTACTCCAGGCAAAGTTTTCACCCAAACAATCCAAAAAACGGATATGCAAGTATTTTTTTTATAAACAACATTTTTTTGTTTTCGTATACTAAGATAGACATTAATGTGTAAAAAAACCAGGCCTCTTCCCAACCACCGAAGGTAAAATTTCTAGCCATATACAAAAAAACTACCTTTTTGGTATATATTTCTGTGTGAAAAGGTTAACATTATCTTACATGGCTAATATCACCTAATACAGTTTATCTGCCTGGTAACTCCCAGCTACACTATGGGTTTCCTTATTACAGAAAAACCTTGGTAAGTGTGCTTCGAATGAAACACGAAACATCAAAACAAAAATGTTTCGTATTTTTATCTATGGAAAAAATGCTTATCAGACAATTGAATAGCATAGAAAAAAGCATATCATACAATTTTAGGGTACAAAAAATTGCTTTTGCTAGTTTCATAAACTTTTTCGATAAAAAGTATGGCAAAAAGCTTGTTACTAATTCCAGAATGTGGCAAAAAATACTATTATCAAAATTCATAGCATGGAAAAATGCTTATTTTGCTCTTTTCGTACAATATATCCAGTCCATGAAATGGCGTTTTTAATAGTATGAAATTTTATGACAGTCATTTTTTGTCAACCCGGGCATTCAAACACAACAGGGTAACATGAATAACTCTTTCGAAAATGCAACATTAGGTGACTACGCCGATATAATACTAGCCCAAAACATAACTTTTTCGAGAAAAAGGAAATAATTTCTTTTTCAGAAATGTCGCGGTAGTTTTTGGGAAACTAATTAAAATCCAAAATAGGTCAAACAGTAAATTAACTCTTAAGTCCATGAGGATTCGTTGCAAAATTGGAAAATTTTGTTTCCGCAATCGATACTTTTACCACTAGTTCATTCGATTGAACCCTTAATTTCAGCTTTGGTACAGGAAAAATAAAAATTATCCAAGCAAACAAAATTTTGGAAGTCCAAAATTGCTTTTCAACAAAATTTAGCGCGTAGCCACAATGAAGAAAAATTTCCTAGCGCAAGTTATGTTCTTAAATCCTCGAATTTAAATTTGGCGGTGCGGTTTTAAAATGCAAAACTACCAAAAAACGGTTAACATTTCCAAATATACTTTTCCTAAATTCAACATTGCTTTTCTACAAAAACTAGGATGTAGCCGCTATCCAGATAAAAATCCTAGCACCTGTTCTTTCATTTGGACCCTTTACCTCAAATTTGGCGGGGTAATTTTTCAACAATGTTTCCGAAAAAAAACAAATGCTTCTAAATTTCAAGAACCAGACTTTTTCTAAGGCCAAACTAATTTTTGACAGTGCCAAAAAACAAGCACGCATTTTTTAGACAATAACTTTTTTTCATCGACAAACTAGGGCAAAACCAGTTGTGCAGTGAAATTTCTCAAAAGCTTCAACCTCAGATTTGCCTATTTAGTTTTCGATACAATGAAAATTCTCGATACATGGGTCAAAAATTCCCTCTACTTAAATTTTCGAAGATCGTAGAACGTCTAACGAAGTAAAAAGGACTAGCGCAATAATTAGGTACACAGCGCATCTCTCCGCTGGTTCCAATTTGTTGAAAATCAGTAAAGTAGTTCTTGAGATAAAACAGAAAATTTTCGAAAGTTTAAAAATTATAATAACTAATCGCACGCGTGAATAACTTTATCGCGAAAAAAATCACGGAAAATTCAACGAGCTATAAAAGTGGTTTTTTCGTTGAAAATTTATTAGGTTAGGTTCTTATGTATCCCAGATCGTACTCAAACCCACAAATTTCAAGCCATATCACAGTTCAGTGTCAAACTTTCTCGTTGCGTTCCAATTTGAGTGTTTATATTCGTTGCGTGCAAATCTATGATATTATCTTGGTTACTTTTAGAATCTAACCGTGGGTCTTCCGTTGACATTCAGTACCGATGAGAGAAGGATGTCTTCTTTTCGTTTGATCTCAAACGGGGTAGCAGAAGTAGAGGATGAAGATGTTTTGCTATCATCCACCACTGCCTTGACCAATTTCACTCCGGTAGTCTGACCGGAGTTGTTGGCTGAAGCTAAAAATAATGCATTCAAACTAACCATTATTTAGCTAAAGGACAAAACAATCTGATACACAGAGGCGAAGCTGAGCTTCTTCGCACCACACAATCAAAAGATAATGTCTCAAACGAAAAGTGAAAACCTGGAATGAATTCTGTTGAAGAAATCGTAGCAAAAAAAAACCAAAAAAACCGTTTTGCAAAGTTATAGAAAACAGTTAACTAACACACAAGAAAGATTCGGACTACATGAACTTCGTTCATTTCTTTCTCATAACCAACAGATGGAAACAACAAAAAACTTTGACGAATCTTTTCGAGATCAAAAAATTCCTAAATTTACACAAAAACTTTGCTTAAAATCTTGCAGCCAGACAACCTGCATATCCTACAGGAATATTTGGGGACAAGAAAAGGCCATATCTTTAAATTTGCTGTAAAGTAAGATGAAAATTAAAGAAATGAGTGAAAAAAAATCAAAAAAATGAATGCACAAGTTTCAAACAAGTGCCGCAAGAAAAAATTGTGAACATTTTTTTTCAAAAAATTCAAACAAAAAATCCAAATCCCATAAAATCATTCAGCACTCGCCACATTTTTTTTGTAGACATAACAGTCCAATCAAAATTTGCTAAAAAATATATCTGCAAATTTACGAAATTATTCAAAAAAAATTTCGATATGAAAACAATACACTATGCCATTAACTGAAATCAATTTCAAGTGAAACTACTCTAAACTAAAACACATCAAGCCAATAAAAACTATATCTAATTCCACGCACTTGTAGAACAGAAAAAGAATCAGAGACGTTGCATCCAAAAAAAAACAAATTAAATGCAAAATAATTCTAGCAAAATTTCAAAAAATTCTTCTCTATCATAAAATTTTGGCAGGTACAAAAAGCAGGAAACCATGAGCTACATATAATCTTTTGAAGGAAACAATTTTAAGAAATCTACCAAAAAAGTTGAACTAAACACCCGTCAAGTAAGTCGACAAATATTGGGTCGAAATCATCAAATCCGACAAAAAAAGTAGTAGACTCAGTATCCTCTAAGTACCTCTAGAACAAGGGTAATGAAACTGCCAAAGGATGAGTTGCAGAGCAATTCAGGGGTGAAAAAATTTAACACAACCCGACTTGCAGAAAAAAAACGCCTTTTTTAGGGGGGAATCAACTTTCTAGTTTAGGAACCAAATTCTGTCACAGTTAAGATAACAAAAATGCAAAAGACGTTTATGGGCTTTTTTCACTTAAATTTTAGTTTAGAAAAAAATGATTCAGTGAGTGAAAATCTACTCGAACTGATCAAAGCTCCCCTAAAATCACCTATTTACCTGTGACACACAGAAACACATTTCGCTTCTTTTTGCTCTCTTCTGGCAAACTGATAACCGCATTCAGTCTCTCGTTAGTTGCTGAGAACAAATCATTTTGAAGGAGACGCTTCACTTCATCCTTATTCGCCAGCAGACCCATTGATAGACACGACACAAATGCTGTTAGATTATTTTCTCATCAGCTTCCCAATTATTTAGTTAGAGAACTTATCTGAAAAAAAAAAGGTTTGAAGAAATTAAAGTTCTTTTTCACTCCACCCCAACGTTCAAAACTTTAGTCATAGTTATTTTACCTTTTATTATGGCTAAATGCGTGATGTAAATATTATTTAAAGTATGAAGAGCAAATCTGTTCACAATTGGCAATTTGTTCACCATGCCAAGTTTGATTGCAATACGACAACGTTAAAATAGTTTTTAAAAGTGTAATTGATAGGTGAGAGGAAAGGGAAAAGAGCCGAGATTGTGTAGCATAAACTGTTCAGAATAATTTCAGTGATAATAAGCTTTGAAAAATTAACATCAGGTAGAAAAAAACGACAAAAATTTGTTCAAACTTTGGTATCAAGAACTTACTAAGATACCCCCACCCTACAAGAAGATTTATTATCCATCAAATTGTTTCGAAAAAGCTGACTAATACGACGAGTTAATTTAATTATAAATATATAGCAGATAGATAGATCAAAAAGATACTAAATATTATCTTAAAACTTCTTAAACAAATTACATTAATTTATCTAAAAGATTTTGACCGGCAGCATTTAAAAAGAAATGGTTGGAAATTCTACTGCTGCTCTAATAAACTTGCTTTTTTTACAAGTTCACTTGATAGGACTGAATCAATCATGCATAACTTGTTTACCAATAGAAAAAATTAAGAAGATTATTTAAATATGGCGAGATAGATCTTCGCTTAATTATTTATCAAAACATTGCTGATGGAGCTTAAAAATGGTAAGATACATAACAGACTCTCAATTTGAAAAAACTGCATAGTTGAAAAAAAGTTTCCGCTGGGAAATCTGAAAGCTAAGATGCAATTTTCAAAATTTTGCAAAACTAGAAATCAATCTATTTGTTATGACCTTTAAACTTTAGCTTTTCAACATTGGAGTTTAACGAAAATGAACTGAAATTAAAAAGCATGTTGAGTTTTATTATTAGACCTCTCACAAAAATTCGAAGAAACTCGAGACTCAATCGCTTTTGATTTTTTACTTGGTTTCTCGAAGCCAACTCATGAGTGATTGAGAGTGGTATCATATTCCAACCCGTCGAGAATCTTATTTCACAAATCGAGAGAGAAGGCATGACTCTAATATGAATCAATTATTGCTTTTAACTTGAAATTATCGTTTTCGTGAAGGCTAGTTTCAACACAGAGACAAAATTGTACTTCGCATACAAAAGCAAAAATATGACCGATAACGCTACTGGGAAAAACTGAATGAGTAAAACTTTGAGTCTACAAAATTTCGTAAGTAACGCACGCCAATTATGACGCATTAGCAGTACCAGTCAATTTGAAAAAGAAATAAATTAACCAATTGCAAATGCCTCAATTTATAGAGCGGACGCATTTTAGCTAGTATACGAAAAAGTTCATTAAAAACATTCGACCCTGCCCAGGTTCGAACCCTCCAATTTTGTTGTGGGTCTCCTTCCCTCCCTCTACGCTACAGATCCATGATATCTTGAAGCCAAAGAGCTATTTGTAATACAAGACTGCTCGTATCAGGGCTAAACCCTGAATGTTCCGACTGCCTTATAGGGTCTATGGAGCAGTAGTAACATGTAAACATTCAGTGTAATAAAAGAATTTTTTTTAATTTGAGATTTTTTGTGAAAATCAACCCCCCACACGCCATATAAAGAACAAAGTGATATATTTCGCTCCTAGTAACAAATCAATTTTGAACTATTTCTAAGATGGATGAAGTCTCCGCTTACGCGTTAATAGCGCGAAATATATCGCGCATTAATTGTCCCAAATTGGCCAAAATGGCAATTTTAAACCCCCATAACTTCACGAAAAATGATCACCGGTGAAATATATTTTCAAATTTAAGCTCAAGACAACAAAGCCTTTTGAATGATAAAAAATTCTGTCAAAAATGGCTAGTTAAAAAGTCGAAACTTGTCTGAAGAAAAAAAAACACCCCAGTACAAATATTCCGTTACTTTCGTTACAAAAGTCGAAACAATACTTAATAGCTGGTTATTGATCAAAAAATGAACACTTTCAAAATGAGCACATTTAACCGCAACAATATTTGCGTTGCAACAACATTTGCGACTTAGGTTGGAAAAAAAGATAGTTCATACTGTAACAAGCATTGCTTGTGTAAACGCCTGAATCTCAGAAAACGGATGAACCTCAAGGAGAAAACAAATTTTGAAACTGTAAGGTATATATTATGTATGTTTGTACCTAAAGAAAATTATTTGGTTTTTCTTATTATTTTTTAAATAATTAGTGTAGTCGGATCACTCTGTGCTATCCGTTATTCAAAAAGGCAGTTATATTACCTCCATAGTTAAAAGAGGCCAAAAAAAAACAAAGACCGAGGTCATCGTTACAAACGCATGAGGCCGCTTTCAAAAAAACCAGGAACGAAATCATGCATAAAATCAGACATGGCATTATAAAGGATCTTTTATATTTTAAAGGCCCAGAACCCGATTTCTATTGGTATCCAAAGAAACCGCTAAGGGATGAAAGAAGAATTCATAACTATGCTCATACAGTGCTGATTTAAATTAACCGGACAAAACGAGCTAAACTTGAAATTCAAACCCAGTTTTTCTCAAATTGGGTTGAGTTTAGGTGAAAACTTATGGAGACAAAACTTGCTTAAGATTTTAGCAAAATTACTATGGTGTAATTTGTTTTGCGAAATTCGGGCCCAAAATTTTACCCCAAAAATGGGTCATTTTGGCCTTTCTTAGTTAATCAAAAATTACACCAAAAACACCCAGTCGATCACAGACATAATTATATCAAAGTGAGCCCCTTACGTAGCCCAGCAAACTTTAAGAAGGTTATAATCTCCAAAACATTGTATAAGTTAATTTATTTTTGTTTGGTAGACAAAAAAGGTCGTTTTTACTAAATAAAAAACCAACTTTTTATTTAAAAACATTCTTTAAACGGTTTGCAATTTTTTTTGGAGCATATACCCTTCTCAAAAATTGATGGGCTACATAAGAAGCTCACTTTGATATAATTATGTCTGCGATCGATTGGTTATTTTGGCGTAATTTTTGATTAACTAAGAAAAGCCAAAATGACCCTTTTTTTGGGGTAAAATTTTGGGCCAAAATTTCTTAAAACAAATTACACCATATTAATTCTGCTAAAATTTTAAGCAAGTTTTGTCCTCATAAGTTTTCACCTAAACTCAACCCAATTTGAGAAAAACTGTTTTAAATTTCAAGTTTTGTCCGGTTAATTTAAATCAGCACTGTATTATATGCACACAATGCAACCTAGACTAATACGAGACTGTTCACAGAGGCAAAACAGAGCTTCAACTTAGCGACACCGAAAAAAGAACACCGAAAAAAGAACTGAAAATAAACCATATAACTTTCTTCATTTCAATTTTCAGAAAAATCGATATCATAATATACCCAGAAAACATAGCCAACTGACAGTTGAAAAGAGTAAAGAACGCAAGCAAACAGAAAAAAAAACACATTATTGAAAAAATCTCAACCTTCGAATTTCAAAGAAAAAAATCGTTACCCTTTAAGCTCTTTGAATTTCTGGAACAATTTATGATGGGCGCTTTTTTGATAACATTAAGGTAAAGTTTTTTATCGCTGGAAATCTAAAAATTATATTCCACTTTCGAAACTAAAATCGTCCATGGTTTTTGCGCCATTTCCACATTCGTTTTAGGAGAGTGCTGTTTTAAAAAATTTCACTACGTTCAATGCTCTTATTCAGCTACTAGGAAAAGAAAGACTTTTGACTTAGGCTATCATAAGTAATGATTGGATGTAGCAAACTCAACCAGATGTCATAATAGTTGACATGAACGCAACTAATTATTGCAGACATGAACGCAACTAAATAGAAAATTTTTATAATTGGAAAGCTCGGAGCAATTACAACTCTCAACTCATCGTGAAACTCAAGTTGCCCACCACGATGATACAGAGGGAAACTTACAGATGAAAAATGCAAAAACTTTCTAAATTTAAACTAGAATGGGAAAATCCTTTCTTGAAAACTTTTTCTTTCTATCTCAATCCAAGAATTTTGAAAAACTTTGTCTTTATCTATAACAATTCAATTTCTTTTTAGACAAAGAAAAGCAAATTTAGTTTATTTGGCATTTTAGATGTTGAGAAACAAAAATGCAAGAGTTGGAATAGTATTGAAACATATTTTATAGCGCTTATCCTAAAATTGGGCGTTACCTCCTTGCCAAATGTGGAAAAACCGTCATTGAATTCGAAATAAATATGAAATACAATACCTCATCTGCAAATTATGTTAGTTGTTTGCAAAAACAAACAAGTCCCGACTGGAATCAAACTTCCGGGCTTTGACGTCAAGCAAGGGTGTTACAGCAAATCAGAAGCAATCTGAACATTCAAAAACTCGTGTTAGGAGAAGCCGACAAAACAAACAGACGGAAGATAATCCAAAAAACTACAAAAACACAAACTTGCAAAAAACCAGGCCCCGGCAGGATTTAAACCACAAGCCTTTAATGTCTCCAGCAGATCTATTACCCCTCCGCCAGATGCACCGGATGGTTGATTGAATTTGAATTTATAACTGGCAGAGAGGCAAAGAAAGCCACTAAGTCAAAAAACTTTAAAAAAGTCAAAATGTTGCCTGGAACCATGCTCTATTTGTGAAAAACACGTCCAGAAACACAATTGACGGCGATTGTTGGAAATATAAAAAATAAGCGTCAATCGAACCGCCAAGCTTGAATAACTTCACGTAGAACCGAAAATATAATTGTTGTCATCAAAAACTTTGAACTATAAATTCTATTCTAAAAATTTAGCAATTAGTTCGATCCGGAACGAAGCATAAACTCTGAAAAATCTCCGAATGAGCTCCCTAAGCCGATAAAACATGAGCTGAAATCATTTAACTCGAATGAAATTTTTAAGCAAAAAAACTAAAACAGCAAAATCTACGAGGTCAAGAATAGTTAAATTATAAATTGCGGGAATAG